ATATCCAAAATTGGTTTACATACTTTAAGACGCGGCGTGACTATACTTCCACAGGTAACTTGAATTCTCAGAAAAATTATCGAAGTCTTTAAACAAAATAGGGTTTATCTCTCAAAATTAGTCTGTTGTTCATTTTGAAATATCAAAAGAATATTGATGATAGTTTCAGCATTTTTTGAAAATAATAAACAGATATTAAATCATTCAGTATTGTTGAGACAGGTTAAGTTAAATCCATTTTAATTGATTCACAGAATTATTATTTTATAAACCTTTAACACCTATTTTTCCCCATGAAATAACTGCAACTCTTTTGATCATGTATAGAAATAATTCAACAAGCACCACCTGTGTGGTTTTAGCAATCATATACCATGTTATAACATATTCTCACCCCATTACAGTAAGTTATGTCTGAAAATTGAAATAATTACAAAACAAATGCAGAATACAAAGTACTATTCTGTTTTTTGACAGGATCCAGTATTATTTGCTGGCAGCCTGAGAGTGAATCTTGACCCATTTAATAAATGTTCCGAGGATGAACTCTGGCATGCCTTAGATCTGGCCAACCTGAAACCATTTGTGCAGACTTTATCCAAAGGGTTGGAACATGAGGTTGGAGAAGGGGGAGGTAAGCTGAGGTAAGCATTTTTTTGGTCATAACCAGTTATGTATTGTTAGAATGATGTGAATGTGATGCCAAGCCCTTTTCATTAATATTTAGGCAGCAAGATATACAATGTACCAAAACCCTCTATTTTTGTGTGATTGATATTCTCGTTGTAGTTTATTTCAATTACTATTACATTATGATTCACCTTTCATAAACAAACGCCTTTCATATTTATAACATTTACTAGTGGCAGCTTATAGAAGTACTGAGAAAATATGTTGATTCCATTATTATCATATTGTTTTCAAATGTGAAGAAATTTGAGTTACGTTAAACATGTTTTCCCCTAATTTCAGTATGGGACAGCGGCAGCTCGTGTGCTTGGCAAGAACTCTACTTCGGAAGACAAAAATTCTAATTTTAGATGAAGCAACAGCAGCAGTTGACATGGAGACTGATGACCTAATACAAAGGACAGTTCGCACTGCCTTCCAAGATTCAACTGTACTTACTATAGCTCACAGGCTCAACACAGTATTGGATTATGACAGGTCTGTATGGATACAATGCTTATTTAAAACTGATTTTAAAACTAAGTTTTTAGTTTATTCCAATGAAAATATTTGTATATCAGTGAATAGCACATAAATTTCAGAAATTAAAGAAACAATTTTCTTAATTGCTGTGAACTGACAATTTTAGAAAAGATCTCATTCAGAGCCCATATTATCCAGCACAACTAAAAAACATCCTATATAAGGAGAAGGTGGGTAGTAATCAATCTTTCCTCTTTTGTGTTAGTTTTCAAAACATCCCACAAAAAACTGTAATGAATGACTTAATCAGTGCATGCACATTTTAAAAAGCAATGAGACCGTTATCATTATTTGTAGATGAAAACTATTTTGAAACAAATAAATATTTAAGCCATTAAAAAACTTTATTATTATTACTTTCAAATACAGTGGTAGAGAAATCTAGTTCACCACATTCATGAAATCAATAGATTCAGCCAAAAACCCCCCATAAAAATAGGCAGATAAATAACAACTAAATAAGCCCTGCCAAATATTTATTATGGCCTCAGTCTGAGGGGTCCCTGGAAAATAATGATAGATTTAGCAGGATAACATTATTCAACATTTATGTCAGTTTACTTGACTTGACACAAATTTTTTTTTAAAATTCGAAAAACACAATGTTTTTGGTACTCTTTGTTAATAATAAAATAAATAAATATTGAAATATGATGACTACTACAAACTAATTGAAAAAACAGAACATATCAATTGAAATTAAACTATATGCATTATTTAGAAATTACATTCTGGTATTTTCATAGAATATTATCTTTTACTACAAAAAAATTCATCACTTGAGTAGACTGTAATTTGTAGACTTAAATACTTAAATATTTCACAGGTAGTTACAATAATATGCTGACAACGATCTATTCACAGAATTCTGGTGCTACAAAATGGTAAAATCATTGAGTTTGACTCACCCAAGCATCTCCTTGCAGTGTCAACCTCGAAGTTTCGTGCCATGGTCAAGGAAGCTGGGCTGAGTTCAAACTTTAAATTAAATTAAAGTTGATCACTGATAATGAGATTTCATACTCAATGTGACAAACATAGATGCATTCAAAGATTGAAACATGAAATTACCTACACCACATAAGAGTTGAGGGGAGTTGCTGTCATTTCCCTATACATTTCTCAATTGAAAATAATAAATGTAAATAAGGTCATAAAAATATACAGAATAAATCATGAAAAAATAAAGCATTTCTCAACACAGCCAATAAGTTGTTTATGAAAAATTAATTGTACAAATTTTTTTTTTTAATTGCAGTTTATGCATACACATTATATTCATCAAAACAATTATAGGTGAAAATATAAAACATTAAAAAAAAAAAAAGAAAGAAACTTGGTATGCTTAACATTAAGCTAATTTCTGTTTCTTGATAAAGAAAAAAACTATATGAAAAGGTATGTTAGACATTGATGGATCTTGGCTTCTTAATGGATCAAAAATAACTTCCACTCCTAGCTGCCCCTCACACATAATAAAAATAGTGTAATTTACCAAATTATGCATGCTGAAATAACATTATAGTCATATATTCATTGATGAATGATAAAATATTAGATATAATAATAGCAGAAAAAAAAACATCTGAAAAAATCAATATTTCTACTACTGTGGTTTAATAGCCTTGATTTTGTGGAGGTGGGGGAGGAGGTTGGGCAGTCATAGGCAAAGGTGGTCTAAATGTTTGTGCTTGACCCCAGTTCTGTTGCTGTTGGTTCTGTTGCTGTCCATACATGCCCTGATTGGTGTAGCTTGACATGTTGTTTTGAGGGGGTGGTATTGGTGTTTTCTGGCTGAAGCCACCAGGCTGAGGTTGGTAGTTACTACGTCCCATGCTCTGAGATCCACTTTGAAAATTTCCACCACCAGCCATCAATGGTTTGGGAGGTGGATTTTGAGAAGGCTGAAAACAAACAAACATAAGTATTTAATCATTCATAAATGATAAAAATCTATTACATTAATGTAGGATAAAAAGTGAAGATAAAATCATATCTTTTTTTGTAAATTCTTTTTTATTTATAAAGATTATCTTTAGATATTAGAATATCAATGATTAAAGTTCAACTAATTATGAAAAAATTGAAATATTTAGAAGGATCACATTGAAATAAAAACTTACAGAAAATTTTGTTAAAACAATAAGAATAATTATGCAGGCTTATGGATTTTTAAGTGATTTCACATCAAAATCAGCAATAGTTCTAACAAGTCCTTAGGACAACTTGTTCATTTTGAGAAAATTCACTAAAGTTTTAATCTGTATGGTATTTCTTACTGATCTAACCTAATCTTGTACTAAGATATCTTTTATCTCATAGCCATTGACTCATCAGCTATTCTGTATCTACCTGATTAATTAGAAATACAATGTTCAGGCCCTATATGTATACATATAGGGCCTGAACATTGTATTTCTAATTAATCAGGTAGATACAGAATAGCTGATGAGTCAATGGCTATGAGATAAAAGATATCTTAGTACAAGATTAGGTTAGATCAGTAAGAAATACCATACAGATTAAAACTTTAGTGAATTTTCTCAAAATGAACAAGTTGTCCTAAGGACTTGTTAGAACTATTGCTGATTTTGATGTGAAATCACTTAAAAATCCATAAGCCTGCATAATTATTCTTATTGTTTTAACAAAATTTTCTGTAAGTTTTTATTTCAATGTGATCCTTCTAAATATTTCAATTTTTTCATAATTAGTTGAACTTTAATCATTGATATTCTAATATCTAAAGATAATCTTTATAAATAAAAAAGAATTTACAAAAAAAGATATGATTTTATCTTCACTTTTTATCCTACATTAATGTAATAGATTTTTATCATTTATGAATGATTAAATACTTATGTTTGTTTGTTTTCAGCCTTCTCAAAATCCACCTCCCAAACCATTGATGGCTGGTGGTGGAAATTTTCAAAGTGGATCTCAGAGCATGGGACGTAGTAACTACCAACCTCAGCCTGGTGGCTTCAGCCAGAAAACACCAATACCACCCCCTCAAAACAACATGTCAAGCTACACCAATCAGGGCATGTATGGACAGCAACAGAACCAACAGCAACAGAACTGGGGTCAAGCACAAACATTTAGACCACCTTTGCCTATGACTGCCCAACCTCCTCCCCCACCTCCACAAAATCAAGGCTATTAAACCACAGTAGTAGAAATATTGATTTTTTCAGATGTTTTTTTTTCTGCTATTATTATATCTAATATTTTATCATTCATCAATGAATATATGACTATAATGTTATTTCAGCATGCATAATTTGGTAAATTACACTATTTTTATTATGTGTGAGGGGCAGCTAGGAGTGGAAGTTATTTTTGATCCATTAAGAAGCCAAGATCCATCAATGTCTAACATACCTTTTCATATAGTTTTTTTCTTTATCAAGAAACAGAAATTAGCTTAATGTTAAGCATACCAAGTTTCTTTCTTTTTTTTTTTTTAATGTTTTATATTTTCACCTATAATTGTTTTGATGAATATAATGTGTATGCATAAACTGCAATTAAAAAAAAAAATTTGTACAATTAATTTTTCATAAACAACTTATTGGCTGTGTTGAGAAATGCTTTATTTTTTCATGATTTATTCTGTATATTTTTATGACCTTATTTACATTTATTATTTTCAATTGAGAAATGTATAGGGAAATGACAGCAACTCCCCTCAACTCTTATGTGGTGTAGGTAATTTCATGTTTCAATCTTTGAATGCATCTATGTTTGTCACATTGAGTATGAAATCTCATTATCAGTGATCAACTTTAATTTAATTTAAAGTTTGAACTCAGCCCAGCTTCCTTGACCATGGCACGAAACTTCGAGGTTGACACTGCAAGGAGATGCTTGGGTGAGTCAAACTCAATGATTTTACCATTTTGTAGCACCAGAATTCTGTGAATAGATCGTTGTCAGCATATTATTGTAACTACCTGTGAAATATTTAAGTATTTAAGTCTACAAATTACAGTCTACTCAAGTGATGAATTTTTTTGTAGTAAAAGATAATATTCTATGAAAATACCAGAATGTAATTTCTAAATAATGCATATAGTTTAATTTCAATTGATATGTTCTGTTTTTTCAATTAGTTTGTAGTAGTCATCATATTTCAATATTTATTTATTTTATTATTAACAAAGAGTACCAAAAACATTGTGTTTTTCGAATTTTAAAAAAAAATTTGTGTCAAGTCAAGTAAACTGACATAAATGTTGAATAATGTTATCCTGCTAAATCTATCATTATTTTCCAGGGACCCCTCAGACTGAGGCCATAATAAATATTTGGCAGGGCTTATTTAGTTGTTATTTATCTGCCTATTTTTATGGGGGGTTTTTGGCTGAATCTATTGATTTCATGAATGTGGTGAACTAGATTTCTCTACCACTGTATTTGAAAGTAATAATAATAAAGTTTTTTAATGGCTTAAATATTTATTTGTTTCAAAATAGTTTTCATCTACAAATAATGATAACGGTCTCATTGCTTTTTAAAATGTGCATGCACTGATTAAGTCATTCATTACAGTTTTTTGTGGGATGTTTTGAAAACTAACACAAAAGAGGAAAGATTGATTACTACCCACCTTCTCCTTATATAGGATGTTTTTTAGTTGTGCTGGATAATATGGGCTCTGAATGAGATCTTTTCTAAAATTGTCAGTTCACAGCAATTAAGAAAATTGTTTCTTTAATTTCTGAAATTTATGTGCTATTCACTGATATACAAATATTTTCATTGGAATAAACTAAAAACTTAGTTTTAAAATCAGTTTTAAATAAGCATTGTATCCATACAGACCTGTCATAATCCAATACTGTGTTGAGCCTGTGAGCTATAGTAAGTACAGTTGAATCTTGGAAGGCAGTGCGAACTGTCCTTTGTATTAGGTCATCAGTCTCCATGTCAACTGCTGCTGTTGCTTCATCTAAAATTAGAATTTTTGTCTTCCGAAGTAGAGTTCTTGCCAAGCACACGAGCTGCCGCTGTCCCATACTGAAATTAGGGGAAAACATGTTTAACGTAACTCAAATTTCTTCACATTTGAAAACAATATGATAATAATGGAATCAACATATTTTCTCAGTACTTCTATAAGCTGCCACTAGTAAATGTTATAAATATGAAAGGCGTTTGTTTATGAAAGGTGAATCATAATGTAATAGTAATTGAAATAAACTACAACGAGAATATCAATCACACAAAAATAGAGGGTTTTGGTACATTGTATATCTTGCTGCCTAAATATTAATGAAAAGGGCTTGGCATCACATTCACATCATTCTAACAATACATAACTGGTTATGACCAAAAAAATGCTTACCTCAGCTTACCTCCCCCTTCTCCAACCTCATGTTCCAACCCTTTGGATAAAGTCTGCACAAATGGTTTCAGGTTGGCCAGATCTAAGGCATGCCAGAGTTCATCCTCGGAACATTTATTAAATGGGTCAAGATTCACTCTCAGGCTGCCAGCAAATAATACTGGATCCTGTCAAAAAACAGAATAGTACTTTGTATTCTGCATTTGTTTTGTAATTATTTCAATTTTCAGACATAACTTACTGTAATGGGGTGAGAATATGTTATAACATGGTATATGATTGCTAAAACCACACAGGTGGTGCTTGTTGAATTATTTCTATACATGATCAAAAGAGTTGCAGTTATTTCATGGGGAAAAATAGGTGTTAAAGGTTTATAAAATAATAATTCTGTGAATCAATTAAAATGGATTTAACTTAACCTGTCTCAACAATACTGAATGATTTAATATCTGTTTATTATTTTCAAAAAATGCTGAAACTATCATCAATATTCTTTTGATATTTCAAAATGAACAACAGACTAATTTTGAGAGATAAACCCTATTTTGTTTAAAGACTTCGATAATTTTTCTGAGAATTCAAGTTACCTGTGGAAGTATAGTCACGCCGCGTCTTAAAGTATGTAAACCAATTTTGGATATATCCACACCATCTATTCTAATGAGTCCACTTGCTGCCTCAGTCAATCTGAACATTGCAAGCATCAGAGAAGATTTACCTGCCCCTGTTCTACCCACAATACCTATCTGAAATAGTAGCAAACAGAATAATGACATCAATTCAATGTAACATGGATTTACCAGATAAATTAATAATAAGAGGTCTTATATAGCGAGGTACTCCAGCCTGGGGCTTGTCTCACCGCGCTGTACATAAAAATTTTTATCAAAAGAAACATAATCATGACATTAAAATAAAATACATTTATGAAATAAAGAACAGCAATGTATATTCACCCACCCCACCTCATAAATTTTACAAGGCAAACCATGGACGGCAGCCAGCAAGATCGTTTATCGGTCAGAGGAGGGGAATCAGTCAGGGTAGTATTACTGTATATTAAATTTGGTGAATTACATGAGTTTTAAGGAATGTAATGGTCCATTATTTAACATATAATGGCTGAAATAATGTAATTAGAGGGGAAATTATAAAAATTACAAACTATTGCGCAATTGCTTATGAACTATTTTATTTGCTTCATATTTAGCTTGGTGTGATAAATAAGCAAACTTTTATACCTTAAAAGTTTAAAGAACTTGAACATAATGGTTATCTTACACTAGAAGAATGCAATAGTAAATAAAATCTTCAAGACATTACCTTTTCTCCTGGATGTATTGTGAAGCTAACATCATTTAACACTAGGTCCAGGCCATCCCTGTACCTTGTGCTGTAGTTGACAAACTCTATATGACCCAGTGATGGCCACATGTCAAGGGCTGGGCTGTCCCCTGGTAAAACCCATTCTGCCTGTGAATTGGTCCAGCAGAGTTAAATAAAGAAAACTCAGTTTGAGTGATAAGTACCTCTAGTCATTTTTTCGTTAGTATTTTTTGGAAATTAACAAAAAATACTAACAGATCACTAATTCTCTATGACTGGTTCTTGATTCTTTAAAATCCTGAAATATTCTTTTTCTAGTTTCATTTTACATAAGAGAATTTTCAATTGTATAAATTTAAGGATACTCATATATTTTCTCCCATAGTTAAAATATTATTCATTACAAAACTTGAACAAGTACATTATACTTGATATCTAGAGCTAACCAGAGAAAAATTTGATTAGAAACATTACAACTTCATTTTTATCCAAAGATCAACATCTTGTAAGTAATGTTTTTAAGATTAAAATCACCTCAGGTTTAAGACTTGAATACTCCAACATCCTCTCCACCGACACAATGTTTGCTTCCAGTTCACTTGACATTCGAGTCACCAATGTTAACTCACTGGTCATCTAATAAAAGCAACAAGGTCATTTTTGTCAAAATGAAAATTAAACTAGGCTCACACAAAATATGATACCTACCAACCTTTTATTATTTACTTAGTTACTTTTAAGTAATCTGTTATTAAAAATCCTCATGAACTCTAAATAAGTAGAATTTTCAGGTAAGGGCTTACTCTACTAACTTATTTAAAAAAAACTATGAGATATTTTCTATACATTGATTTTATGATATTCTATTTGTTTTTCCTTTATTCCTTTAAATGGAAAAAATGTAAGGCTTCATTGCGTTGGCTGTTGTGTTATTTTTAATTCTTACCATTAGCACATATGTCAAAGACAAGCTGACAAGACCAGTTGGTACATCTCCTTTGTACAAAATTGCCAAAATAGTGACGGCAATAATGAAGAAGTATGTTATTATATCTAGTCGACTTTGCATCCACCTGTAAATAAGAATATGAAAAGTCAAAATATTCAACCCCTGTCTCTCAGTTATTAGGTTTAGTTAAATAAAATTGAATCCATTTTAACATGGTTGAAAAAATAACCCAGTTTATTTTGGGGTTCTAAATCATTATTTGTTAGATGTGTGCCATTCATTTTCCTAATATGTTTGTGTCCCCACTGTCATGTTAAAATATTTCCTTCATTTTTTGTTTATCCCTTGTGGATTTTTTGCCCATAAATACTCTTTATGGTTCTGTATTTTGTTCTGACTTGCAGCTGTTCATTTGCCTTAAGTATGCTTTATTATGTTATAAAACTCACTTGCTGGCTGCATATGATATTGCCATTGGTTTCTGTAAATTATCTACTTTGGCCTCTGATTCCACAATAAATCTGGCCTGCTGTTGGTGAGCTCTTATAACACTAACCCCTGACAACATTTCACTGAAGTGAGCAAAAACAGGGGAGCGATTTTTGGCTGCAATACGTCTTAGTTGACAAGATGTTTTTACATAATATTGCTGGAACAAAAAACTATTATTAATTTAAGTGTGGGGTAAATAAAATTTGGATAATTGATATTCAACAAATTAGTGAACAAATAATGAAATTATTTTTTGAAGCACTCATCAGTATGAATTAAGAAATTATTTAAATTCTAATTCTAAAGGCTCAACTATGTTACCAAAAATGTTCATTTATTTATAGAAATAAAGTTACAAATATAAGTAGCAGGACAAACTAAGATGTTAACAGTCTGACTAGTCTCAAGTAAATAAAGTAGTGCCTGAGTATAGTTGTTGTTTTTTTAAATGGCATCTTTTAAAGTTAACATTAATGAAAATCTTGTTTTTTTAAAAAAAACAGCTAATTTTTATACAACTGGTAATGTTATCTTTTTAACTTGCCTGTACAAGGAAAAAAATAATAATAGCTGGAATTGCAATAGCAATAAAGGCTGGAAATGCATAGCATATTATGACCAGAATGCCAATCGAAAACATAGCATGTTCAATGTAGACTTCAAGCTCTAAGAAAATGTCATTGTCCAGGATATCTAGATCTTGGCTGAGACGATTCAGTATTCGACCCATGGGTGTTGTGTCAAAGAAACTCATTGGTGCTTTGAGAATCCCATTCAGCAGCTGTGTGTGGATTACTCGTGATGTAACCACATGACGGTACTGCAGTACACAAGCATACATCATGCAGCACAGGGCTATAATTTTCAAGAGGAAAATTGATTTTATAAAATTCTACATTTTTATCCTAGACAGTAACAGGGTTTGAACACTTATGAGCTCTTTAAAATTATTGGTGCTCAATCTGTTTATAGTATTTGTTGCAGTTATTGTGTACAAAAATTGTTACTAAGTAAGAGTAGCAATATAGAATTTAGACTTCAGTGAGGTCAAGTTGCAACATGCTAATAGAATGTATAACAAAGCAAACCAATGATGGTGTTAGGATTTTCTACATTTTACTAGAGGAGCACCTGAATTTTTTTTCATTCTGCTTGGATTTATTTTTAATTATTTTTTTTTAAAGGCTAATATTTTCTTTATGGACCTGTTTAAAAACCTACATTGCTTCAATATTTTTTATATATTATATTCAGTTAAATTAAGTTGTTATATTTTAATATTTCAATTAATTTGTAATATCTTTTCTTAAGTTCAATTGGTTATATCTTATCTTCAGTTCCTACAGTTTTTAGGTTGATTTGTTATATCTTATCTTCCGTTTATCTTTGTATATTTTATCATTAGTTCAACATAACACATCTTTTCCTAGTAGCTGCTCTATTTTTTTAGTACACATGCTTTTAAATAACATCAACAAAAATTTCAGAACTCACTTTGCAGTACACCAAAAATTGCAAAGACTATGATGAAATATTGGTTTCTGTCAAATCTTTCTGAACTAGAGGCTGGTAATTCTGTCGTGTTAGCAAGTTTATCATCATCATTCCATTTTGTCAACCAGATGAAAGAGAAATTGTAAGCAATGTGAAATGCACTAATCATAATAGCTGAGAGAAATGCATACATTTTGCCGTAACCATTTAGAATCTCCAAGTACACAGTCCATTTGACCTAGGTTTTCAAATGAAAAAAAAAATATAATTAATTATGTTGGCTTAAAAAAAATGTTTTCTTTACTTCAAAAGATCTGGGAAGCAGATTTGGAGTTTACAGTTTGATCTCTGCTTTCTGAAATATATTTAATTCTTGAAATAAATTCTAATGTTTAAGAACAAATTCAAAAGTTAACATGTTCAAAGATGTCCAGCATGAAACTTTTATCCATAGGCCTAGGTACTTTTTTAAAATATGTGTGTGTTTTTTAAAGCACTCCTTATAAACTGCAAAGGCAATTGTATAAAATTTAAGTTGGCATTAACAGCCATACTTTAAAAAAAAAATAAATGATGACTAGGCCCTATTATCTAATTGTACAATTTGAATATATGATGGTTTAAATAGCCTTAATTTTTATGCACAAAAAATTCAAAATGTAGGCCTCCATGTGAATGAAATTGTTCCTCATTTGCTTATTTAATTTGTGAAATGTCACCTGCATTTACAAATGTCAGTAAATGCTAGTATAAAAATATAATTTTATAGAAATAAAATGCTTGTATGGATAGTCTTACTACCTTGAAGTACATATTTAAAAGTCTAAATACAATATTTAAGCACCTTTTTTCTTAAAATAAGTTAATTTCAGTTAGTAAAGAGAATCTTTAGTTCTGTAGAAACAATATCAAGACTGGTTAAAATATATAGTAGGTCTATTAAAAAACTATTAAGAAAAGTGTTCAATAATGCAATCTGTTAGGTAATGAAGGTAACTGGTAACTCTTACTTTTCCAAATGTTATTTTCTCCTTAGTGATAAGTCTGCTCTTCTCCTCGAGGTCATGATTACATTCATCCATGATAGCCCGAGATGTAGAGTAAATGTCTGTGCTATACAGATTTAGTTCAATACATAACAAATAATTTCAGTGATGATAATAATAAGTATAAAAATATTTATATAATGCAAGAGAATTGTTAATTATTTTTCCTTTGGTCAATTTTATTTATACAATGGAATATATGTAGGTCTATATTATTTTAATTTATTAAATTTATTGCATTAAATTTTATATTTTAAAATAAGGTTCTGCCACTTGGTCAAAATTGATGTTTATAAACAAATAAATATCTTTGATATTTTTAAACATTTTATAATTTAAAGGTTATTTTAATAAAAATGTCATTATATTAAATGCACATTAACAAAATTAAATTAATATAGACACCATTTAAATTTCTACTTTTATAAATCTGTTACAAAATGAAAAATTGTTATAAAGCAAACCTTTCAATGGACTTCCTAATGTCTTGAGACCTTTTTTCTGTTAGTACGACTAAAACAGTAATAAAAAATTGCTTTATTTGTGTTATTGGGAGCTATAATAAAATTAACTTAAGTGTTAAAAAAACAAAATGTTACTGAAGTTTTTTCATTTTCATATTTTGTAAATAAATATTATAACAATTTTTAGCACTATTAATTTACTTCAAACATTTATTTTTTTTAAATTTCGGTGAAGAGCGTAAAGCTAAAGAGCAGCTAATAAACTGATGAACTTACAACATAAGATGATCATATTGACAACAGCATAGGAAAATATTTTCATGACTAAGCAACTGTCTCCATTTTTAATGTTTTCAATCATTTTATTTTTTAAGTTTATACCTATAATTTTACTGAAAAATTGTATGTATCAGTATTTAAATTTAGTACAAATTCTCCAATGAAAATTAAAAACAATACCTGGACTAATATAGTTTGAATAAGTATCTGCAATACTGCTTTCAGATCCTGTATGAATTAAATACAGATCCAAAAACTTTGCAAAAGCTCCTTGATGTTTTGTTAGAATTTCAAATGTCCCTGCCTCCGATATCTTTCCATCATTCATCACAATTATTAAGTCCACATCTGGCAACCAGTTCAAGCTATGGGTGACCAGAAGACGGGTCTGTGGGAAAAAACTGTCATTACAAAGTGCTCAACTAACATACTACTGCTTCATACTGAAATTACTGCCCAGTCAAAATTCATGACTTGGGAAATATAAACTTGTGCAGAATATCTTGATTGTTTGTGAACATATAAGCCCTGGACATCTGCGTAATGAAATATCAAGATTTGAACTGGTCTAGACAAAAGGGGAAAAAGGGGGGGGGGTGGTAAAGAGCTTTGTCAGAATATGGAGTTGGCTGTGTATGATCAAGAAATAGAAAGACACA